GGTGTTATATCATGTATGTCAGGTGTTACAAGGAGCTTAGCCTTCACCAAGATGATCTGGAACAATCCAATGGTCCAATGGTTGGGTTTAACGGAACGCCAATGTGGCCCTTGGGAGCAATAAGTTTAGAGGTGCATGCTAGCACTAAGAAGGTAAAAACGGAGTTCACAATAATTAACACACCCTCCCCTTACAATGCTATCTTGGGAAAGCCATGGTTGCATGCAATGGGGGCTGTTCCCTCAACACTGCATTAGTGTTACGGTTCCCAACAGAGCATGGAATTGAGGAGGTCAGAGGGGATCAGGTGCAGGCAAAGAATTGCTCCATGGCAGCAACGAAGTCCACCTGTAGCGTGCGAGGAGCAGAATCAGTAGAGATTGAGGATGAGGACATGGAGGTCTTTAAGGACGTCGGCAAGGAACTAGCCGAGAAAAGTGAGGAAGCCCTGAAGAAGATCTTAGTCTAGCAAGGAGATGAAGAACGCTTCTTCCTTCTCGGCTCAAGCTTGGCCGAGGAAGAGGAAAAGGAATTAGAGGTGTTCTTGAGAGCAAACCATGAGGTGGTTTCCTGGACACCATACGAGATGCTTGGCATTGACACCGAGGTCACTTGCCATAGACTAAATGTGGACAGGTTGGCCAAACCTGTCATCCAGTGAGCAAGGAGGCCTACGTTGATGCATGTTGAGGCAGTAGAAGAGGAAGTGGATAAACTTCTGGAGGCCAGAGCCATTCGAGAGGTAAACTACCCAACATGGTTGTCAAACACTGTTGTTGTGAAGAAAAAGAATGGGAAATGGAGGGTTTACGTAGACTTCACCAGCTTGAACAAGGCTTGTCCCAAAGACAGTTTCCCACTGCCCAAGATTGACCAATTGGTGGATGCCACTTTAGGGCATGGAATGATGAGCTTCCTGGACGCTTACAGGGGGTACCATCAGATAGCCATGTACCCCCCCCCCGGGCGATGAGGAGAAGACTGCATTTATCACCCCAAAAGGGCTGTATTGCTATAGAGTGATGTCTTTTGGGTTGAAAAATGCAGGAGCAACTTACCAGAGATTGGTGACTAAAATGTTCACATCTAATAGGCAAAACAGTGGAGGTATACATCGATGACATGATTGTGAAGACCAAGAAACCTGAAGATCATCTGGCCAACCTAAAGACAATCTTTGATATCTTAAGGACATTTTGGCTCCGACTCAATGCGTCGAAGTGCGCATTTGGAGTTGGGTCAAGGAAGTTCCTGGGATACTTGGTCACCAGAAAGGGCATTGAGGCAAGCTCAGATCAAATCAAGGCCATCTTGGAATTAAAGAGCCCAACGTTGGCAAAACAAGTGAAAATGTTGACTGGAAGGGCTGCAGCCCTAAACAGATTCATAAGCAGAAGTTCTGACAAATGCAAACCTTTCTTCAGCTTAGTGAAGAAAGCCACAGATTTCTTATGGACAGAAAAGTGCGAAGTCGCCTTAGCGAACTTAAAGAAATACTTGACCACTGCTCCACTTCTCTCAAATCTAGTACCTGGAGAGGAGCTGCTCTTATACTTGGCAGTTTCAGAGTATGCAGTGAGTGCAGTGGTAATCAGAGAAGGAAAGGGAGAACATAGGGCAGTTTACTACGTGAGTAAAACCCTAGCAGATGTAGAGACCAGATACCTACCCTTGGAGAAGCTAACACTGGCTTTAGTAATGGCCTCCAAGAAGCTGAATCATTACTTTCTAGCCTACAAGATTGTTGTGTTAACTGAACATCCTTTGAAATCTCTATTACAGCAAGGAGATCTGACATGTAGGATAGCCAGATAGGCAGTGGTGTTGGGCCAATATGACCTAGAATTCAGACCCAAAACAACAATCAAAGGCCAAGTTTTGGCCGACTTTGTGGCCGAGTTCACACCAGGCGCTATCATACATCGGCTTCGTTAAGCCGGGGTATACGATGTCTAGGTGAACAAGGTGAAACCTAGCTAGGAATAGCCGAACAGAGGAAAAAAGAGAAACTCAGGCCCTGCAGTATTTACATCGGCGACTCCTTCCGCCTGTTTGTTGATGTAAGTTCAAACCGACGAGGAGAGAGGACAGGAGTAGTACTAATATCGCCGGAGGGGTAGATGCTGGAACAATCCATTCATTTAGGATTTAAGGCCTCAAACAATGAAGCAGAGTATGAAGCACTGATCGCAGGATTAAAGTTGGCAGCAGCAATGGAAGCTAACAAGGTAATGGTCTTCTGTGACTCGCAGCTTATCGTCAAACAGGCAACGGGTGAATACGCAAACCGAGATAAAAAAAATGATGGCCTATGCAAAAGAGGTGGGCAGACTGATAGCATTATTTCAAAATTGCCGACTACAGCAAGTTAGCCGAGATAACAATAGCCATGCTGATGCCTTGGCCAACCTGGCTAGTGCAATGAGACCAGGAGAGGCAAGGATAATTATGGCTGACTACTTGTCAGGTCCAAGTATAGAACCACTAAACACAGAGCATGAGGCAATGTGTGTGGTGATGGGACCAAGCTGGATGGATGCGATAATAGTATTCCTTAGAGATGAAAAACTGCCAAATAATCATAAAGAAGCACAAAAGATCAGACTGAAGTTGGCAAGATTCAGTCTGACAGCAGAAGGGCATCTTTACAGAAGATCTTTTACTGGTCCCCTTTTGAGGTGTGTGCATCCTTCACAAGTTGAAGACTTCCTGTATGAAATACATGAAGAAGTATGTGGGAACCACACTGGGGGCAGGTCACTTGCTCATAGGGCCATTACTCAGGGGGTACTTGTGGCCCTACATGCAGAAAGATGCTGAAACTTATGTCAGAAAGTGTGAGAAGTGTCAGAGGTTTGCACCTTTGATACACCAACCAGCAGCGGATTTGAACCCAGTATCCAACCTTGGCCATTTGCCCAATGGGGCATGGATCTTGTTGGACAACTGCCTCAAGCGACTGGACAAAGGAAGTTCTTACTCGTGGCAACAGATTACTTCACCAAGTGGGTTGAGGCCGAATCCCTTGCAAAGATTCGAGATATTAATGTAAAGAACTTCATATGGAAGAACATCATCACCAGGTTTGGGATCCTAAGGGTAATAACAGCAGACAATGGTACGCAGTTTGACAGTAAGTTAATCAAGAGCTTCTGTGCAAAGTACAAAATCAAGAATTATTACTCTACTCCAAGCTTCCCTCAGAGTAATGGTCAAGCAGAAGCATCCAATAAAGTTATCTTGGATGGGATCAAGAAGAGGTTAGAAGCAGCAAAGGGAAAGTGGGTGGATAAGTTGCCCAATGTACTATGGGCATATTGGACTACGCCGAGATGATCAACTGGGGAGTCCCCATTCATCATCGCTTATGGCACAGGAGCAGTTATTCCATTCGAGGTCGGCATCCCAAGGGTCAGAACTCAGGGAGTAGAAAATGGGACCAATGATGCATTCTTGGCCCGAGATTTGGATCTGTTAGAAGAAAGAAAAGAGAAGGCAGAAATTCAGCTGGGGGCATACCAGCAGCAGCTTGCCAGGGCTTACAATAAAAAGGTCAACCCACGAGAGTTTCAAGTTGGTGACCTTGTCTTGAGAAAGGTCATCGGCAACAAGAAAGATTCCAGAGAAGGCAAGCTTGGCCCAAATTAGGAGGGACCCTATAGAATCATCTCGGTCCTGGGCAATGGGGCATATCGGCTTGAAGACATTGAAGGCAAAGAGTTGCCAAGACCCTGAAATACTTGCAACCTGAAGTTTTTCTATCATTAGATTTCTTTTTGTTCTTTTTAAGTCTTTTGTTATTAGTCGAATTAATAATAAAATTTTAGCTTGATTTTTTGAAACTTGTGTAAAACGATTAACCAGTCCCTTAGCGATGTTTCTGATTGAGACATGACAAATAACTTAGACTCATTATATGACAGAGTTGAATTATACTTTCATATAATAGAGTTGAACTAAGTTGGTGATGTTTCTGATTGAAACATGACGAATAACTTAGACTTATTATATGGCAGAGTTAAATTATACTTGCATATAATATAGTTGAACTAAGTTAGTGATGTTTCTGATTGAAACTTGACGAACAACTTAGACTTATCATATGACAGAGTTAAATTATACTTGCATATAATAGAGTTGAACTAAGTTGAATTAACCTGGGCTTGCCATATCGGCAGAGTCAAACACAAATTGAAACTAAGTACATTTGGGTAATATTAACAGAGGAACCAAGGTTAAGAACCTCGGCTAGTCTCTATTTAATATAAACTTCGGCGACAAGGTCATAGCCGCGTGCTTAATGAGAACCCAAGTGGAACTTAAGTTCACATTAAGGGGCAGAGAGCTAGAGAATAATTCTTGGGAGTTGGAATTTACAGGCTAAAGTTGGTTTAATACTTGTTGAATATTTAAGAAAAATTTACAAGTTGAAGTTAAGCCGAGGTTATGTTGAAAAAAGGTTGGTTTAACACTTGTTGAAATGTTTTAAGGAAAATTTACAAGTTGAAGTTAAGCCAAGGTTATGTTAAAAGAAGTATCTACGTACTTGCCGAGATTACCATGTTGCCAAGACTTGGAAGATAATACAAGACAGAAGTCTTGATAAGTAAAAGTAAAGTGGCAAGTTTTAAATAACACTTATGAAAATATTTTTTACAATGCTTTCAAGTGTTAAGCCAAGGCCGAGATGAACAAGATTGGAAGTTATGTCCGAGGTATGTTAATCCGAGGAGACTACATAGCTAAAGGCATAAACTGAGGATATGCAAAATATTCTAAGTATGGAAGCAGTAGAGCTTACAAGCATACAAAACACTTGAAAGAAGAAATTATAGAATGCATTCAGATAAGGAAGTTCAACTATAAAAAGGCACTTCGGCCTGATATTAAAGATTACTTGTTCAGAGTACAAAAAGGCACATCGGCCAAATAAAAGCTAAACATTGTTCAAAAGAAAAAAGCACAAGGTACAAGAAATAAGGAAAAGCTTCAAAACTAGACTATTCAGCGTCATCGGCTGGATAGGTTTGGGGCTCAGAAAACATCTGGGAACTCTTCTCAACAGCCTTCTCAGCCACAAGCTCGACATTGATCTCTTCAAGAGTCTGGTCGAGGCTCTTCTCGACGATAGGTGCCTCGGATGGTGTCTTCCTAGGGGAGGCATCTTTTGAGACCTCATCCCCCTCATCCTGAGTCAAGTCTAAGACATACTCATTCAGAGTTGGGGGCTTGGCCCCAGCAGCTTCGGCCTTCTCAGACATGTCGGCCTCGGCATCTTCCTCAGACTCAGCCTCGTCCTCAGATTGGCTTGGAGTGAGGGGGAATAGCAAGACGATGAGGTTGTTATCTCGGAGAGTTGAGTCCTCGGGGACAGCCAACTCCTTTAAGGCAGCCATCCAGCTAAGGGTGTAACCCTTGTTGTATGCCTTTTTCACTTGCTTCTTGTAGTCCTTTCGGATGTCGGCTGCCCCATCGGCATATGCCTTCTCATCTGCCGCTTTGATCTCGGTTTCCTTTGTGGCCAAGGCAGCGAGGAGCTCGGCGTGGGCTTCGGCAGTTTTTGCTTCAGTCTCTTTCTTCTTGGCCTTGAGGACCTTAGCAACAGCCTCTGCTGCCCCAGCCTTTTCTTCGGCCTCGTCTTGAGCTTGCTTGGCTGCCTTAGCCTGGTCTATCAGCCCTCTCATCTTGGCCTCAGCGTTGTTCAGCGATTTGAACAAGCCAACAGCTTTCTTAGTCTTACGGGCCAACTCATTCTTAATGTCGAAGGCCTGCATCGCGAAGGAGTGGGCGTGCTGGATTGCCTAGAAGGAGCAAGGCAGAGCGAAATTCAGAGCAAAATTCTCGTATTCACTGACCTCGGCGTTGCGTTCGAGGTCTTGAGGAAGGAGCAAGACAGCAGAGAGGCCAACGCCGATTTCAATGTCAATCGCGTTGTCGCTGACTCTGACTGGCTTGTTGTAGACACCCCATTTTTGACCGTCCTCAAGACTTGGACGTCACCACTTGAACACTCGGTGATCATCCATGTTTGTGTTCGTTTGGAGTTCCCGGAGGTCTCGGCTACGCGCCCTGCCTCAGGATCTCCGAACTTGACCGTTTTGTGTCTGGTTTTACACCAAACACTTGTGTTTTGCCTTGGAGGGGCAGGGAATGCCTTGTGAGGCATCCCCACACACCACCGGCAGTGGCTAGAGGCCACCGGCTGGTTTTTGCTTCCATCGGCAATCTTTTCTGCTGGTCGGCACCTTTTGTTGCCGGTCGGCACTCTTTTTTGTCAAAATGACATTTTTGGGCAGCCGACCACTGTTCATCTACTTTATGTAGATATTTTGTGCCAGCTGTGATAGCTGGCACCAACTCTGCTTCCCTCCATACACGTGTATGGAGGGATTGCCCTCTAAGCAAGCTTGTTGTATAAGCTTTGCAAGAGGGAGTTCTATAAGAGGAGAAGCCTTCTCTTTGCTCTAGGTTAGAGATTTTAAAGGCAAAACCAGAGCTTCTGCATATAGATACACCCTATCTCTATATCTCCCTCTCTCTCCTCCTTTGTGTGTGTTTCTTGGCCTAAAAGTGTGATTTTACCTTACTTTTGCACCAATACACACACTATTACACCTTACTCCGAGATTGAGGACTTTGAGGGTTGATTCTTGAGTTTTTGGGCTGTTTTTGATCAAAAGAAGGAGGCTACCTTGGCTGTTCTTGAAGTGTGCTTCAAGGGTGAGCATTTTACTTTAGTTTCCCCAAACTTGCACTAGCTTTTTACCTATCTTACTTGCTGATTTAGTTTTTGTGCATAACATAAAAAAATCTTGTATTTTCATGCTTAAGAACTTTCATTAAGAGTCTTTCATGGTTTGAGTTCAAACTCACCCTCTTAGGCCTTATTTGGCCTTTTTGTTGCCTCTTTAGTAAGGTTTTGTTTGCTTAAGTGTTTTGGTCTTCTCACCACTAAAAACCAGTGGATTTTCAATGGTGAGGAAGGTGGTTTGAAGTCTTGCATAGGGGAGGGACACCCCTCTCCCTTCATTGTCTTGTTTCCTTGTATTTTGGCTTAAAAGGGTAACATGCATGCTTGATCATTTTTGGCCTCATTTCAGAAGTTTTTTGAGTGTTTTAGGTCATATGTGATCTCTGTTTTTGGCCGGATTTGTACCCATTTGCATGCTTAATATACTTGCTTTACATTCCTCCATTTGGCCTAGGATTGTATCTTGTGTTTAGGCCATGATTCTTGCATGTGTTGGCTTGATTCCATGAAGATGTTGGCATTATTTCACCATGTTTAAGGTCTGTTGGCCATTCATTTCAGTCATACTTGCCTTGTTTGGTGTCATCTCTTTATGTTTTGGCTTGTAAGCTTTGAGCATATTGACCTCTAGCATGCATAACCATGATCATCCTCATGATTTGGCATCATTTAGGACCACATTTCAGTCCATAAATCATGTTTATATGTGTGCATGTGTGACCTCTTTTATGCCTTGAGGGTGTGCCCTTTTATGCCTAGATATGAGCCTTGATGCACACACCTCTTTGGAGTCACTTTAGCTGCCATATTAATGGTTTTTGGAGTCCATTCTTGCATGTTAAAATTCTGTTTTGGCTTGTCCAAGTCATGCCATGAGTGGTCATGTTGGTGGGAGTGAAGTGCCTCATTTTGTGCCTTAACCTTAGGGCCATTGGCTTGCTTGTTGGCATGAGTTTTGGTTCACCTTTTGGACACTTTTGGCCACTGTTTTGAGTTGGGTTAAGGTCTGCCCCTTTACCATTTTAAGCCACCATTGCATGTTTGCTTCATGTTTGTTGTATGTTTGCTTCATTAGGTGTTGTATCATGATGCCCCTTTGGCTTAAAGTGTCCATATTACATTGCATTTGCATCTTGTATGCCTAATATTGCATGCTTGCCATACTAGTTGCATGACACTTGGCATACCTTGCATCTTGATATCATCTTGCATTTTGAGCCATGTTAGCATAACATGCATTGCATTACTTGGTTTGGGGTGTCAAACCAAGTGTGAGAGTTAAGGAACATTCATACTATGAGTGATGTAATGTGCCTTGATTCTCGGTCACCGGAACCCTTGACTTCAACATGATAAGGCCTCGGTCCTCATTTGTGTGTTGCATGCATTCTTTTCATCAAATGGCAAGCTCGATCTCTTGGGCTATCATGCACCATTGATGGCTCAAGTATCGAGGGCCATGTTCCCCTGAGTTCAACGCATGATGGGAAACATGACCATGCTCACATGTGCCTGAAAATCCCATGCCATATACTGTCTGTTCTCTGTTGCTGTCAAATCTGTCTTCTGCAGGAAGCTTCTGCCGACCGGCATAATTCAGTGCCGACCGGCCACTGATGAATGGCCGATAAACCCAAAAACAGCCGATGGAAATTCTGCACTGCCGGTGGGAATTTCCCCTAGCCGGTGGTACTCTACAACATGCAAGGAACCTGTCCTAGGGCTTTGACAATTTTCAGAGAGACAGGGCAGTACAAACAGAGGTGGCAGGGGTATGGTACGGGTTTTCCAGGCGAGCCGGATTTCGAGCATACATCATACGCGCATCCTGAGGCAAGGGGCTGTGGCCACCTTTCTTCCTTTCGCATTCATCCTATTAAGTAAATTAGAAGTTCTGTAATAATTTATTTGTTTATTATTCGGACTGTAATATTCATTTGGCCCCTCCGAGTGAGGGCAATTATGTAATAAGTGTGCGTGAGTGTGTGTATGTCTTCCAACCCCACTTCTTTCTTCCCTTTTATTTACCTGCTTTGATGGTTAGTATTAGGGCACGTTTAATTTAGCATACCTTATGCTATGCATACGTGCATTCATGCATTTGTATTACCTGCACCGGGCTCGGCGCATCACGCTAACTGCATTTGTACTTCAATTTCAAATTAAATACGTGCATCAATTGACTGCATTTCACATGCCATGCTTAGGTTAGCCGAGCCTACTCTAATTGCATGTTGCAGCGTTCATTAGTACTCTAACATGATACGGACCATGCAATTTCTAACTAGTTTGTTGTTTGGCACGGAGTACGCATGTAAGTGTTTTTCGCTTTAGCATATTGCATGCGGTGAGTTCAATGGATAAGATCTTACATGGCGGCCTAGATGCTATTTGTTATAAACTGTGAATGCCTTTGGAAGGTGGATTGTTGTGGAAAAAACTCGTTGAAGATCGTTTTTAGCCTACTTGCGAGTAGCAATTCCAAACATTTTCAACAACGATATGCAGATGCTGTTCAGATTAGCATCTAGTCAATACTTGTTTGCTTGTACGATACCATGTTAATCTAGGCTAATAAATGGAATAAGAACACATAATATTTTCAAAAACGGATATCACGGTTAGTAAGAGGCCGATCTTCGGATCGGGCGAGAGGGAGTGCTCATAGCTGACCTTCCCCGATCGTACCCTAGCTCCCGAGCCAAGATAACTCCGGTGATGACGGACATGTGGCCTTCGGCACCGAGTTAGGGTTTCCTAAATTTCCCCATAAAAAATATTTAGGTGGCGACTCTGTATCTGGCAAAGCAGTCCATGTTTGGCACTTCTTTCCTAAAATCTGTTTTTTTTCTCAAAATGATTTGCCAGATTTGGACTCTTTGGTTCAAGATTAAGAACCGTGACACGAATCGAGTCCGAACTGTAGCGCGGGGCCCCACGCGGGCGCGTCTACACTTGTCCTCAATTGTGATTGAAGGGGCCCAAGGGGCATCAGATTTCAGTAACCCCGAGGTTGTAGCAGACTCTGACCTCAGCTTCTTTGACAGGGTGAATTCGGAGGGAGCAGCCTCTGCGGGCCTCTTTTCGGCAGCAGAGGCACTTTTTTCTGCCTCAGTTATTTTTGAGATCGGCAAGGTGTCCTCAGAGTCGATTTGAGTCACTGTTGCCTTGGCTTGGGCTTTCTTCAGCCTCTTTGGCTTCGGTTTGGGTTGAAATTGGGAAGGTGAGGACTGGACCATGACAACGTTGGGGATGTCGGCCAAGAGGTCTTCGGCAACAACCTTTTTGCGTCCTATCTTGTCGGAGGTCGCGGCAACTGTAACTCTTGTGCCGAAGTGAATTGCTGGTAGGGCAATGAGAGGATTGGCTGGATCGTAAGAGGACGCCTCAATACTTCGGCGTCTTTGGCTACGAGTCCTGTCTGCTGGTGCAAACAGTAGAGCTCGGTGTCGGTGTTGGCATTGAGAAGGAGGAATCAGTTATGGAGCAGAGGTTGATGGTTGTTCTATTAGGTCAGAGGTTGATCCCTAGTCTGGCCTTGATAATGACTCGGCTTGAGAAGTTATTGTTGAGGTTGGAGACTTGCTCTTCTTCGGGATGTCGGGCAGAGTGGATTTGTATATAGGAATGTAATTGAGCAGCAGAGGGGCTTTTCGTTTGTCAGCTGGCAAACCCAACAATTTCTTGAAATCCTTGCTGGGGTAGAATGTCTTGCGAAAGTCCATGGGTGGTTGAAGAAGGGCTGCAAAGTAAACAACAGCCATTAGAACATGTAAGAGAGATAACTGTAATAAAGACTTGAAAGCAAGAAAAGTAACACTTGGCTTTTACCATCTCCCTCTCTGAACACTATTCGGCTTAAAGGGTAGAGGTGAAGGTCATCCTCTAGAGGGAACTCCTAGTTGCCCGGGATGATGAAATAATCATCTCTAGTACCCTTGTTAGAGTCTAGAAGGTCGGCAACGAGTTTGTATTCTGTGGATCTTAGCTTAAGGTAATATATGTAGCCCTTTTCTAACTTCA